GACCTGCTTCATCGGGGGGTGGGGGTGGGAGGTGGAGAACCATGTAGGTCTGGAGCCTCCTTTGTGGGGGGGGAGTGGGTTGGTGTGTAACAGATCAATAAAGCAGGTCCTGCGATTTGTGTTTCTTCGCCTCGGACCACGATCCTCTTCCTTGGCATGGAAGGAGGACTGTCTTTCTTAGGACCACCTCTCTGACGGAGCAGACCACGGTGAGTCTCCGGAACGGTACCTGAGGCCTCTGCCCTCGTGGCCGACGACGAAAGGGGCGCGGGAAAGGCCAGGCCGGCGCCTGCAACGGGTTGTGTGTCAAGACACCATGCCTGCCTGCCTTTGCGTGACGGGTGACGAGGGGAATGATTGGGAGGAATAATTGCAGGCCGTTAGAAAGCAGTAATTATGACCTGGGGAGGGAAGAGGGGCTTGTCGGCGGAGGCACCCAGGAGCACCCCAGGAACCCTCTCGGAAATTGGTAGCTCTGTAATTTTCCCAGTTGGGGGTGTGTGTTTGCTGCGTCACCTGGAGGTGTGTGGAATTTGTTGCCTGTCATCTCCAGGCCATCAGCGACACAAGCGGCCGTTCCCCCCCCCCTTGATCTGTGAGGGATCTCTCTGGAGCTGGTTGAGGAAGTTCTGCCCTCCAGACATGGCTTCCCAAGACGACTTCCGAGGACCCCCCAGAATCTCCTGGGTTACGAGGATGGCCAGTTATTTCAAAAAGGGAAAAACAGAACTGAGGGAGCCCCACGATGCCAGAAAGAGTTTTGTCTTGTTCGATTTAGTAGCACTTTTGGGGAGAGCGCTCCTTCCGACGAACGGCTGGTATGTAGAAAGAGGGAGGCAGGACTCGCCTGCAGGGAAGGCCTGCCCGAACCATGACGGGCATGCCAGGACTTCCAGTACAGACCAAAGAGTGCAGACGGAACGAGGGTGGAGGGGCTGGTGCAGAGAAGCGGGCTGCCGTCCATCACAGCTGTTGTCCATGAAACCCTTCGAGAGGCCGGGAGCCACAACCCCCCCACGAGGAAGCGGAAGTGACTTTTGCAAGCGTTGTGCTACAAGCACGTTGGCCTTCGTGAAGCCGGAATGCCGCACCGCACGAGGGTGGAGGGGCTGGTGCAGAGAAGCAGGCTGCCGTCCATCGCAGCTGTTGTCCATGCAACCCTTCAAGAGGCCGCGAGCCACAACCCCCCCACGAGGAAGCGAAAGTGACTTTTGCAAGCATTGTTAACCTTGTTGGCTGAGCAGATGGACGAGTCCATTGTGTGTGTGTGTGTGTGTGTGCATCTGTGGGAACAGCCACGGCAGGAGAGGGAAGAGGACCGGAAGGGCCTTAATGAGCTTTGGCTTCCAAACGGTTCAGGCCATTATTAACCTTGTTGGCTGAGAAGATGGACGAGTCCACGGGGGAGCTCCGAGAGGCTGTCCCTGAACCGCCCTGCGTAGCTCGAAGCCGGTTCCCCTCTCTCAAGCCCCGCGAGGAGCAAAAGAGTTATGCAAAGTGGTAAGAACGGTGGGAGCTCTGAGGCTAAAAAGGCAAGGCTTTGCGCCCATTTGCATAATTCGTACAGGTCTGCAGAATCTGTTTTTCTTCGCCCAGAATTTGGGCCGCCTGTTGGAATTCCTGTGGCCTTCTCCCTGTTTGCGCGCGCACGCCAAGCCCGGAGGAGAGGGTCAAAGAGACAAAAAATGGAGGCCACGGCCGGCCCTGTTTTAAAGAATGCTTTTGCCGCTTAGAACACAACCGGGGATCAAGGCCTGCAGGAAACCCACTCCCGGGAGCCGGGAGCGGCTGCAATTTTGGGTCGGAGGTTGAAGTGCCTGGAAGTGCCGTCCAGAAATGGGAGACCCCAAACGTCGTACCTTCTGCTGGAGCGGCGCTTTCTGCACCAGCTGCCTTGCTGATAGCCCTTGTCATTAAGGATTCTGCTCGTGTCACTGGCTAATTAGTGTCATGTTAATTGAGTATTTGCAGCGCTGCCACCTCCAAGGACAGTGGCGGGAGCATGAAGGGGAATGCAGATGTGCCGCCGTTCGCCGTCACAGCCCGCTGCCGGGGAGCGGCCCTCGAACTCAGCCCCCACGGGCCTCAGGGACTCCGCGGGTCTTCTGCCCCGCCTGTGGCCGATCCGTGCAGCGACAGGTCTGCCCCGAGGGTTGCCTTGAAAATAATTCTGTCGCCTTTGGCCTCTCGCCCAGCCCTGGCGGTCAGGAAGTGGGACGGCTCGCCTTGTCCTGCCCACGTCCTGTTGTTCTGCCCTTGTTGCAGCGCCGAAGGTGGCGGGCCAAGGGGGTGGCCGCTTACGGGGGCCCTTCCTTTTGCCCCATCATTGCAAACGAGCACAGAGGAGTTCCCCATTGTAGGTGCAGATTGAAGTGCTGGAAGAGTGCCTTCGCTTTCTTCTGTTTTTAAAAAGGAATCAAGTCTCTAGTCCTCAATGATTGCGGAAGGGGCGCCAGCCGAGACCGCTGGAATCTATGAGCTTTAGGGAGGAGGAAATGGTTCAGGTCTTCTCCGTCCTGTCACCAGCAGCCATGGCATTGATGTGGGGAAAGAGTTTGGCCACCCTGTGAATGAGGGGCATCCAGAATGTCCCGTCTTTGGCAGCCCCTCCCAGCCGTTGCCCCACGTGGAGCCCCTTGGCCTCCTTTACAGAGTCCGACCATCTTTTACTTGGGCTCCCTCTTCTCCTGCTGCCTCCAGGGAGGAAGCTCATAATATTCCCGGCTGACAAGAGGGTGGCCCTTCAGAGCCTGGTAGAGGAGGCCTTCCCCAATGCTCTTCTCATCACCACCCATCATCCTCACATCTTGAATGTGCACAGTGCGTACATAGGGAGATTTCTCGCTATTATCCGTTGCACACACCAAAACCTTGCAGGGTTTCTTTGCAGGATTTGCTCCATGGATTCCATACCAATAAGAAGCGGAGAACGGGGGGGGGGGTCCCCGATTCTTTTTCGCTCTCCTAATGAAAGCAACTGAGCCTTTTTTTCCCCCTCTGCGGGGTCTCCCATTTTGCTTTCTTGTCATGTCAAGACGCAAGTGTCACCATTTTCAACCTCCAGGCATGTATGAGGTTTTCTGTTCGTGTGCCTGTCTGTTTCTTTCAAGCCCCCCCCCCTTCCCGGTCCTTCCCCATCAATCGCCGGCTTCCATTAAAAACGGCAGAAGAGCAGTTGCTTAAAATGCCGGGCGGATGATTTCTCTGGCCCATTTCCCCATTACGGGGATGTTACGGGCTTTTTAACAGGTGTCTTAAATGGCCGTCGTTATTAACACTTCTATTAAGTCAATTAAAATCCGGTCCTTTCGGCTGGATTTAACGCAGCGGCTGGGAGGGAGATGAGGGAGGAGGAGAGAGAGGGCGGTGGCGTGTGTGTGTGTGTGCTTGAGATGCTCTGCCCTTACACCGGAGTTGCAAGGAAAGCGCCGGAGGAACGGATCGGCGGCTCTCCCCCGATCCAGCCTCCGGTTCTGATGCTTGCTCGTGGCAGGAGCGAAAGAACTGGGGATCTAAAATTTCATCCGGTCATGTGTGTGTGTGTGCTTGAGATGCTCTGCCTTTACACCGGAGTTGCAAGGAAAGCCCCAGAGGAACGGATCGGCGGCTCTCCCCTGATCCAGCCTCCGGTTCTGATGGTTGCTCGTGGCAGGAGCAAAAGAACTGGGGATCTAAAATTTCCTCCGGTCAAGTCAATTTTGACTCACGCTGACCCTTTCCAGGGTTTTCCAGGTAGAGATTATTCAGAAGTGTTTTATCCTTTCCCCTTCTTCTGGGTGGGATCCTTGGGGCTGTCCAGCTTTTGCCCCAAAGCCACCCAGGCTGGCTCTTGCTCCCAGGAGATGCACAGTGGGCGGAATTCGAACTCCCAACCTCTGGCTTTTAATCTAAAGCAACAGCATTTCTGTGGTCTCACGTGTCACTTTGGTCCTCGAACGCCTTTTTCCTTTTGCGGAGAAGACACGGGCCTCTTTTAAAAACTCAGGTTTTCCGAGCAGCTCTTTTGGAGAGAAGCTTTCCAAACCCCTAATTTATTCCATCTATTAGATAGGTTTTGTAGATTTAATCATTTTCACAGTTGGTGGCTCATTGGATACTCGAGATAAACTCCAAATGAAAGTATAATGGGGACGACAAATGAGTTTTCACACCAGAAACAGCAGAAACTTGCTAAAGAAAATAAATAAGGAAGTTTGAGGGGAGGGGAATCCATATCGTGTCCTCCTCCTCCCTCAAACCTCCAGCCCATCGCTTCTCGGAGCTGCCTTTTGCTGACGACTGTAGGTTACCACAGTTCATTTCGACGGTCTTGTTCATCTGTAAAATTGCACAGAAGTGACTTTTTTTCAGCTCATTGTAAGAAGTGCTGATTTATAGCTGGGGAATGAAATTCCCCCCCCCTTTACTTGGTGTGTGCGTGCGACACGATCGTAGTGGCGCAAAGCACCCATGAAATTGCTTCTACAATGTAGTTTTAAGTCCAGTCTTGGAGAAGAGGGGAGTGAGAAACCTCTTGGTTAAAGAAACGTTTCCACTCTTCACACCCCTTCGTTTGGGTAACCTCTTTAGCCAGAAAAAGACGGTCATTTTGAAGCAGCACTAAGAGGTTTACTCTACTAGGGTATGCTGGCATTTTGGGGGGTCCCACCCATTTCCCTTGGTTCCTCTCACATTTGGAGCGTGCTGATGGATACGAAGGCTGATGGGTTCTGGGAATTTGTATCCAGAAAAAGGAAGGGGACTCTGCTTTGTGGCCCACCCCTTAAAGCTCTTCTTCAAAGATGTGCCACGTAACTGCATGTTCCCATCAAAGCCGTCTTGCTCAAAACCTTAGGTAGATTGGTTTTTCCTTCTGCTAAGCGATTGTCGCAGCGTTAGCTGTGCAGGTAACTCTTTAGTGACCTCTACGGGTAGCGATTAGTATTACAACACCTTGTGCTGGAAACCTTCGGATTTAAGGGGGCATCCTTTAATGCCCTTTCTTCCTTTCTCTCTTCCAGGCGATGCCATGGCCCCCACGCATTCTCCCCGCTACCCCAGCCCGGCCGAACTGGACGCCTACGCCCAGAAAGTGGCCAACCACCCCCTCACCATCAAGATCTTCCCCACCAACGTCAGGGTCCCGCAGCAGAAGCACCTTAATCGGACGGTGAACGGGTACGACACGACGGGGCCACGGTTCAGCCCCTACCCTGTGCACGCGAGCAGCTACCAGGGCCTGCTGGCCATCGTGAAGGCCACCAAGTCGTCCTCATCGTCCTCCTCCTCCTCTGGGAAAGGGCTAGTGAAGAGCGCAGAGGGCAAGCGGACTAAAACGTCCCCCGCCGCCCACGCGGCCGTGGCCCCCTATCCGGTGACGAGCACTTTAGCGCCCGGCCCTTCCTGCGCCCCTCAGCTGAGTTACCACGGCAGCCAGAAGCAGACAGAGGCTCCGGCGCCCCCCAACGTCACGGTGGCCGCCTCGGTGATCCCGCACGCCGGCAGGGGCTTGGCCCTCCCCCAGGCCAACCTGCCCTCCATCCAGAACATCATCTTCCAGATCAACCAGCAGTGCCAGGCTCAGAGCGGGCAGCCCCTCTGCCCGGGGGTCACCATGGCCAACCCCAGCCCGGCCAAGCACGCCTCCGCCAACAGCTTCGCCG